AGTACAGTGATATTACACACACACACACACACACACACACACACACACACGAACCACAGTCTGAAAAGGATTAATCAAATTGTATGCTGTTTGTTTTCTGTTGATCAACTCATTGTTTATCCAATCAGCTGTTTCTTTACTGCAGCTGATGATAAGCACGTTCTGAATCTCTGGAGAACAACAGGACGAGCATCAACCCAATAACCATTATGGAGGGTGAAGACAGGAACGGACACTGCTTCACTTTCATTCTTGTAACTGCGTCAACATTTCCACACATGAAACAGGCACAACATGTAACCACACTGTAGCCAGGGCAGAAGATCCTGTTCAGAAAGACATCATTCAGTGACACAGTGAAGGTGGAGCTGGCAGACAATGTCGCTTCTTCTCTGCCCATTCTGTTTTTAGTCAGCAGCAAAATACTATATATATATATATATATTAGTAAGTATATAGTAAGTATATAGTAATAAAGTACACAAATAAATCAATATGAGGATTTTCTGAATCAATTTAATCGAAGGAAAGATGAAATGAAATGCATCTAGCTCTTCCTTCCCCTTTCAAGACACAGGACTGTGACGGCTGATGAAGGCTACATCAGATGACATAACAACCCCAATTTCAGCCTGAAGCCAAACTGTGCAAACTACAACTTGGCCACACCACACACACTACACACACACACACACACACACACACACACACACACCGGCCTAGCTCATCTATTAATAACAATCAACCAAAGTGAAAAAGAAAGAAAACCATTATTCCTATTCCCACTTCCAGTAACATAACCATGTAAAGCTGAAACAATTATTCCATTCATCAAAACAATCACTACTACGATCATTTAAAGCTGAACATGTGCTGGGTTCCTCATCCAGACAGGGCAAACTACGTGAAGATATAACCTTAATAAACCTTAATAAACACGAATCTGACTGAAAACAAACTTTACTTGCAGTTACCGTGCAAAGTATCGAACAAAACCTTCCTCAATGTTGCTTCTTCTCCTTTTTTGTCCCTCCTCCATGTAGTGTTAGTGCATCTAGCCTCTCAGATAAATGAGGACGTCCTGTTAATCTGCTCCTCTCAGTAAACAGGAACGACAGGTTCCTGTTAACCCAACAACACACAGGCGAGTTTACGCTACTACAGCTTTTTTTTTTTTGGACAATATTAGAGAATTAAAGTGTGGGGATTTATTATTTATTTTTTTACCTGATACATTAAAGATTACGTTACCTTATGGCCCATCAGCTAAGAGCAGATACTGCACTGCTCGATTGACTCGACCGAGCATAAAACAAGACGATAATTACACATTTGTTAATTATCCTGCACTGTGAATGAAGTTTAACTGATTACAAGACATCACGTTACATAAACCCGTAGTTTGGGAGGTAGCTGCCTTTAAATTATCCGATTATTAGAGAGATAAAGTCAGAGATAAAGCAGGAAGGAGAGTTCATGTGAAAGCTCGTTAGCGCTAACTAGCCCATCTGTGTTTTAGGAAATAGATTAAAACCCGCACACAGAAGAGAGAAAAAACACACCGTGCCTACAGAGAATGACCCTCCCTGGTAAAACTACCGGTTCTTATTCAGTAAGAGTTTATATTTTAGTGTTAAAATGTTTAAAAACTTGCTGAGCAAACACAGTGGCGCTAAAGTTGAACCGCTAAGGAAACAGCTAATGGGTTTAAAGTGTCCGGCTTTAAAGCTGCTAAAGTCACACAAACACGGGGACACTGGATAAGTCAGCGGGTTCCCGGTGCCGAGCCTTATCTAAATACAAATCACAGCTATAAAACCGTCACGTTAAACGTTCCCAAATGATATTTATACCTTTAGAAATGTTTCTCGATCCTTCGTCGCTGCTCCTGTCCGACAACAAAATGGCGTTTTTCCGGTGTCGTCGTCTTCTTCTTCTTCGTCGTCATCAAACGCTTCATCGTCCCTCTGCTTCTCCTCCTCCTTCTTCGTGGTGTTTAATGGCGGCTGGCAAAACATAGATAATGGTACATTCGCGCCACCAAGAGGTCTGGAGTGGTGGTGGTACAGTGTAAGTGCAGGAAAATCAATAATGAGGATTTTGCGGAATCAATTTAAACTGAGGAAAGATGAAATAAAATGCATCCAGCTTATCCCTCTGCCATCTGTAGCTCTTCCTTCTCATTTCAAGACACAGGACTGTGACGGCTGATGACTAAACTACAGTCAGATGACATAACACCTCCAATTCAGCTGAAGCAAACTGTCAAATACAATTGCCACACACACTACAAAACGGCCTAGCTCATCTGTTAATAACAGTCAAACATTACAGTCAACCAAGGAGCATTGTGAGGTGTATTATACCTGAAACTCAACAAGAGGTTGACATCGCCCTGCTGTTGGCTGTGCACATTCCACTTTCCCCGGTTTATTTGCACTACCTCACCTGT